CCATTTACATCATATTTATCTATGATTTCAGGTATAAAATTTAATTTGATAAAATCAGTAATTCATACGTTTTAATGTAACTGCAAGTGTCGAACTTCCTCAAACATTATTTCACAAAAGTTGGGACAAAAAAAAAAAAAAAGTGTTTGGTGTAAAGACGTAGATGTAAAGGTTGGAAAAAATTTTGAAAAGCTTTGTTAAATTCCAAAAAATCCAAAATTTTTAGAACTATTAAATGTGTACTTTGTAAATTTTTAGGATACTGCGTGAGATTTTAGCTGAGCTAGAAATTACGGACAATATCGAACAAGTGAGAGATGCTCTATTACCACTACGTAATTCATATCACGTAAATGCCGTTGCTTTCCGCCATCGGTACAATACAACGGATGAAATTATCGAAAAAGTACTTGCACTCAAGATACATGAAAATACTGATCAAAGTGTTCAGTTTGCATTTGCCGTTCATTTACAACCATTTGTTAACAATATTTTATCATGTTCTGTTGCAGTTGCTGCATTAAAACCATTGATAAAGTGAACTTCCTTTCTGATAATTGCAAAAGTAAGCATTTCATCCTACATGCATCAAACCTATGATTCTTCTAGTACAAAAAGAAAAAGTAATTCTCTTAATTATACGCGAATACTTCATACCTTTTCTTTAATCTTCTATTGGGATTAAATGAATATCTTCAATTATTCTACTACACCCTATTCTAATGATACCCATGATTTTTTTCCCAATAAATAGAACAGAAATTTCGGGAATCATCGGGATTTTTTGCAATAAGAAGGAAAATTTTACCAATCATCAATATTGTCTAATGTTGTTTGGACATTTGAAATCCAAAAAATTCAATTTCTCGTTCCATTTCATATCTTCTCATTTGACATACATCCTTATTCATTCTTATGCTCACACCTATAATTCTAGCTAAATTTTCGGTAAACAATATCTTGAGTATCATTCAGAATGCCTCTCTCCATTTTTGGTAATTTTAACATTTGGACACTTATATAAATTCGAAACTTAATTAAGATTTGAGATTGAAGTTAAGATTTTTGCCTCTCTTTGCAAAGTTTGAAAGTTGTCAACTTATAAGAATAAGCTATAAAAAAAAAGAAAAAAGAAAGAAAAGAACACGAGATTGACTATTTTCATACGTTGCAGTAATTAAAATGAAATCTCTATGTACAATGTAAATTACAAATTGCTTATATTCCTTAGTTTAGATAATTTCCATTAATTACATTAGCTTCAAATTACTTCCATTAATTGCACCAGCTTTAAATAATTTCCATGAATTATACCAGCTTTGAAGCTCCCATTAATTATATCACCGCTAATTACGTGATATGAACAAAATGAATAGTGATTAGCTGTCATAACGATAGCATAAGATTGGGTCGAACCGGAGCAAAAATGCAACCAAACCGGAAAGTAACTGTTACTAGCACCGGAATACATGATCAACTAAAATAACATTCTTGTATTTCCGTGTTAGTAACAAGTGTGGGCACATATTCATCAGCTCTCCCCTTGATACCATCCCTCATTTTTGCTCCCTTTGAATCAATTCATCAGAATTATTTCATCAGAATTTCATCAGTTATTTCATCTTTTCATCAGAATTCATCAGAATTATTTCATCAATCAGAATTAGCATTACGCTAACATCACGTGATATCATGGATCATATACGTGAAACCGATATCATCATACTGCACCAAAATAATGCAAATTTGTAAATGTAATAATATGTATACATAAAATCATTTTATTTACGTTTTACTATATGCAGCGGGAGTATCTTTTTTTCCTTGTTTAAATGTTGGAAATTTATTCGGACGATAATCACTGACCATTCCTTTTCGCCTTTTTTATTTATCCTTCAATTTTCGCAAGAAACAACTGCCTTGTATTGTAGCATATAATTAAAGATCATTGATCACTTTATTATGACCACAAATATCATATTTGATACCATTAACGGCGAAAAACCATATATAAAATGGAATGAAGTGCCTAAACTTGAGAGTTTGAAATTGGAAAAAAGAAATTTTTTTTAAAAAAAATGAATTTCTGGAATTTATCCACAAATAAGTAATGAAAAATAATGATAATCTGATCATTAAGTCATCATGCAGTACATCACGTGAATTACATAAAGTGCTAGTTTTTGCTCGACCTTAAATTTCATAAATTGTAACACAGAATTGAAGAGTTTATGAAAGACATCAGAGAATGATAATTACGAAATACTGTTAAGGTTGTGGGAAATGCAGAGACTGACGTTGTATAACATCTGTTACATAATATATATGCAGAATGCGTAATATGGTAATGATAACAAAACAGAGAGCTCATTAAGTTAATTTCGTCTTTATTTTTCTTTCCAATTTTGATCTTTACTCCCTAGCTATCATTAACCTTTTTTCTTTGTCTACAACATAAGAAATCTCGACAAGATGAGATGGAATGTCTCCTCCGAGGAATGATGGCTCATAAGAAATTCCGATATGGCATAAGACGAATGAGATGAAATGTTTCTTCCGAGGAATATTGGGTCGTAAGAAATTTCGGTATGATATGAGACGAGATGGAATTTTCCTCCGAAGAGTGGTGGGGATGTTTTGTCACAATGATTCAGCACATAACAGATTATGCCTTATTATTTCGCCTTCTCTCTCCTATACCCAGCCCACTCTATTTACATCCTAATCAGGCTAAGTAAAACCGGCCAGAGCTTATCCAGGCTAAATAACTGAATCAAAGAATGAGAAATTTTCATTGCAACTATGATACGATTATGCAACAGGCGTGCAGTTCCGAATGAAAATTATCGTCTGCTAATTATATTAATGCAATTTACATAAATCATTTGTAAACAAACTAACAAGGGGTGAGATGCTTTTTTGATAGTTTTAATGATATATCAATGTCAACTCTCTTATCTGCTAACTACACATAGTATTAGTTATTATCTTATTCTTTAAATTTATGATAACTCGTTCACTCTATCAGTCTTTATCATTCTTTACTCTTTTTTGATTTACACCGTTTTATTACTTCTTCAGAATCAGTTTTACTTTTGTATTTTACCATCTATGAATGCTTTATCGAAATTTCAAGTCATTTGATTGATTCCAAAAAGTTAAATCGTTTGGTGATGTCATTTGTGCTTGCAAATGGTGTTCTGAATGAAAACAGATGACAGACTTCGTTCCAAGCTTCTATTTACTTGTAAATCCAATCAGTACTTCAGGGTTTTCGAGTTTTTTGAGTTAATGTCCATTCACGCAATATTGTATCGCATTGCTGCCAAAAGACTTGGTGGAATTATTCCGAGCACGTCAACTGGTGTTCTGAGCTTCCCCTCAGCAACTGTATGGAAGAATGTTGATAATAGACGCAATTTTTCTAGTAATACTTATTTCGATGTTGCTGCGGAACTACAGGTACTGATTCATTTCATGTAATTCGGAAATGGAACTGATGGAGGATTAAATAGTTCAGTTTACTGTAGCTAGTTTTGAAATCGAATTAACTTTTAATGGACTAAGAGGAATAGAGCAACCATTTAGTGCACACTATCTTAAGTTTTTCAGACACAAGTCTGGTATTTGTTTCAATATTTGTTCTAATAGATTACTTAATGAATGATTTAATAGATTATCTGACTTAATCGAATTAAAATTAATTTAAGGGTCATCCTATCGTTCAGTGGTTCGAGCGATCGATAAAGGCATCATGCAATTATGCGCAAAATTTAATTGAAAATTCTGGCCTAAGTATTACTCCACTTGAACATTTAGGCCTGTATACCTGGTGGAAGCCCTCGTCGTGGTATCGAGTATTCTTGGAATGCCTGCATACCAACTATGAGTTATCCTGGCTTGCTACTATAATATGTGGTGAAATTTCATAGTTTCTGTGATGATTTCAGTATTCATTTAGTTCAAAGACTACTTCCGGATGATTCAATTTGCGACTTTTTCAGAAAATCCAAGTCTTTTTAGGTTGGGAGTTCATTTTTTCCAAGGTCTTTTAGGGTGCTTTTCATCTATCATTACCGTCATACTTACCATGTTATCTATGGTTTTTGACTTCTCACCGTTTTGGCTAGTCAAATTGTATCACATGAGATTTGATGACGGTCAGTTAATTGACAAATTCTTTGCCTTCTCTGGATACTCTAGAAATTCTCAATTTATAAAATTTCAATTCCGGTTTCTCCAGATTCTAGATTTCCTGGAAAATTTGAGTAAATTTAAAGTGTAAACTTTTCATTCTCTGATAATGATTTGCTTTTTTTTTTTCAGCGACCGTATTAATTCGAATTGCTACGCTTTATTTGCCGACATTAATTTTGTGGAAGAGAATAAGATTCGAAAAAGTCCAGCTTCCATTTCTATATCGTAAGCAAATTTGGAATTATGAACAGATTTGTCTGGGCTTCCATATCGTTTAAACTTTAGATGTCTAACATTTTTTCAGATATTCGAAGTAGAGTTGGCTCAATCATACTGTATTCCTCAAGTGTTGGACTCTTCTTGACACAGTACTGTGGTATCAAGAAGATGGCTGAAGTTATGTACGCTCTTTTCCTTTTGAAAGTTTAGTAAAAACTATTTGATTGATTACTACAAAAAAATAAGGTATTGTTCGCGTGCATATCAGAGTAATAATATTTTCAGTTATCCGAGCTGGACAGCAAGTGGCACATTATCGTTCATCGATCTAACAGTACCAGATCCGGCTTTTTTATTGCCTACCCTAACTGCCATTTGTTTCACTTTCGCAATTAAAGTAATAATGTTACAAATTTAAAAATCGAAGTAGTTTTCATAAGTAATTCAGAGGAAAACGCAAACTGTTTCTTCCTAAAATAGGAGGCATTAGTACCTTATTATCTGTTCTCATGGCTCTCTTCTAAGGGTTCTTTCCTCCCTGTATTTTTTTCATAGTTTCTCGAAACATCGTCAATGTCAATACATTAACATTTCAATAAATGATTGACGAAGTTTCTCGTGTCTTCTTTCATTTCATACTAAGTTTATGTTACTTTTACGCTAGATGCAATCATTATGCCGAAAGGAGTCATTCCGCGAAGGATTCCAATTTGGATTTTTTTTTTTTCAGAGATGGATTGAAACATTGCAAGTGGAAAAAGCAGTAAGCAGTTGGATGTTAGGATTAAAGCCAGATAATGCGATATATCCAATCGCCGCATGTTCATTGTTGGTTGCTAGCAATGTCCCTTCGGTAAGTAATGGTCAAAGAGAAGTTGAAATTGAAGCTTCAAATAAAGTTCAATACTAACATTTTTATTTTCATACTTCATATTTGCTCTCTTTTAATGCTGGTACGAAATAGTAACTTTACTCGTTCCCTTATTCATGAATGGACGTCGGGATAATATGTTGGATGGTGGGCTTGGAAATGTTTACGTGATTGAGAAATTACTTGGGTCATGGCTTTCTTCAATTTTTTATGCTCAATTAATATATTCACTTCATCCAGAACTGTCTAGCGTACCACTGGTTCTTCATTATGTTTTTTTTCAAGTTATCTTTTAAGGTTGTATGCGTTTATTGGATTACTTCGAGTTTAATTAGTGGCATGCACGCAACAGTATTGAGGACTGATACAGTGCGAACGTTGTTACATTTGCACAGTGTTTATTCTGATCCTTCGGAAATTCGTCGTGCCGAATTGCTAAACTATGTTTCTGGTATTTTTGGATTTTTCCACTTTTAAATTTGCTACAATCATTCTGTTATTTGCTGTTTTCCATTAGTTGCATTTCCTTACTGTTATGAAGTTTAGTTAGTTAATTTTACAATGCCTAAACCTTTTGATTACTGGCTTTTCTGGTTGGTCGGAATGTTTGTTATGCCATGGAAAGCTTCTTTTTTATAAGAAACCGAATTTAGCATAATTTTGTTCAGGAAATATCTAGGCATTATGTAGGATACAATATGGAATTCAAATTTCCAGAAATGAGACAAAGAAGAGCAAATGAAACACTAGAAATCCAGAAGGAAGTTGCTGAAATTAAGACAGAAAATCAGGGAGAAGAACTGTTCAAATCACTTGTAAAAGAAGCGGAAAACATCAGACTTGAAAGGGATTCACTTTTTCGACAGTCCTGGAGAGAAAATGCTGTTCTTCCATCTTCAAAGATTGCTAAATTAATGGAGCAACATATACAAGAAGCAGCACGAGCAAACGTGGTGACGAAAGCTAGAAAACCAAAGTCGAGAATGAAAGCTGATTCCCAGAAGTTTGAAATTGATGAAATTACGGCAAGCTGAAATGGAATCTTTTTTAAGTTTACTTCTTCATCTTATTAGTTCCTATTGGATTCTAAATAGGCAGGTTTTTTAATTGGACGATCGGTGGATGACTTTTCAAATATTGGATTGCTTCATTTGGGTTATAGATTCGAACTTTTTTTGTTTCTAGTCAAGTAAATCACACTGATGTTAGACAAATAGGACAATGACAACAATGACAGATGGTGTGCAAGACTAGTTTGGTTTTTCAGGAGCCTATAGATTCGTAGGAGCGATAGTAGAGTATTTTTTCAAATCTTTCAAGCTCCACCAGTGGTGAGAAATTAAAGTTTATGAGGTTTTTTTTTCGGGTGATATCCCTCAACACATTTCAGATATTAATGATGCGAAGTTGTATATTGTTTTTTGTTCAGTGTTATTGGTTATAAGTAGACCGAATTGCATGAAAGTTTGGGGCTAGCATTGTAACTTATTTTAGGTTTGGCATGTTCAAGATGTTACTATAAATCATACCTTGATCTTTAATCAGCCGTACATTGGTTATTGTTTGTCACTTATCAATGATATAGCTGATAAAACTACTTTATGCGATCATTAGCGTAATTAAGGTATAGGTAATCTACCAGTTAACGACTTTACTGAAAATACTTCTCATTGAAAGCTTTAGTTGTTATTAATTAAAATGAAGGAAATTCACCAAAAAAAGGTTATTGCATACTATGCGGAAATGCTATTTGATCTGAGAATGATGTCTTTAATAATGGACCTGCCTTCTCATATTTTCTTTTGATTTTTTAAAAATTGTATGATGTTTAAGATTGTATGAGTTTGTCATCAAAAGTTTGAATCATTGTTAAAATAAAGTAAAATCCAAAAAAAAAAATTTTGAATGCTACGGAATGCTGTTTGATTCGAGAATGATGTTTATTTGCTACCATCCCGCTGTTCTGCAGGTGAAAATCAATTATGGTTGTGCACTGGTAATTTCAGGATGGATTTGGAGGATCTTTGGAATTTCTGTAATTGCTCTAATTTTGTCGTATTTTGCGATTTTTACTAATTGCAATTTAATAGTGGTATAATGGCAATGATCTGCGAAAGTGTACCTCCGATTGGTTTTCGAAATTGTTGGGTTACAGGAAGGGGGGAGCATACTTCAAAATTGGTGAGTGGTGTTTGTGATTTCAGAATGCTGCCAAGGAATCTACAGATGATGCTACAGCTTAGACAGCATATTTTGACGGAATTAACATCTTTGCCTTCAGTGAGGACGTTGTCAAGGCAAAGTCTTGTAGCTCCTGACCGTTGCCAATTAATTTCACAAATTAGACATATATCTTTCTTCGGAGGCGATCCACCATCTTCAACTGCACCAGTGGCTCCTGAAATATTGGTATGTTAGGTTGGCATATGTGATAGCTCTTGTGGAAGTTAATATTAATATAACAAATTTAGTTCGATGGAATTCAAGTACTTTGTTGTTTTAGAATTAATCAAGATTTCTTATTGGGTTAGGTTAAACTGCATTAATTAAAGCTAAACCGTCATCTCGATGTAGTCTTAATTTAACCTTATCAAACTAAACAGTTGGTCCAAGCAGCTGGATTGATTTCAAATTAGTTTTTTTTACAGGCTACACCTGCAAATACACCATTGGTTTCTACGGATTCACCGGATTTTACGCTTATCGAACAACTGCAGCTGGGCTTGATAAAAGATTTTCAGTTGTTTGATTTCCTTGGTGGGAATTCATTGGTCAAAGAGTATGAACTTTTTTCATGGTGGAGTCCAGCGTCATGGTTTCGACTAGCACTAGAATATATGCATTTTAATATTGATCTACCGTGGTGGCTGACTGTTATATGTGGTAAATGTTTGTAGTTAAATGTAGAAAGTTCATGTTTGTTGATAATTTGAATCTTAAGAGTATTGACATCAGTAAAATTAATGGAATTTGTGGTGAAAAGGGTAGGAGATTTGGTCCTTCCACAAAGGTCTGAATTTCTTAAACAATTGCAATGCATAGTTTTTTTGAATCGAATTTGTTTCGTGTTTTTTGATGTTTAATATTCTAATTCGAAACAGTAAGTTTCAAGTTTTTTTATCTTAATAAATTAATTGATTGACGACTGACAACTACTTAAGAATTGCATTTTAGCTACAATAAGTTTACGGTTACTGATGATATTTGTACCGATTGCTTCTCATCGACTTATGGGACGAGTACAATTACACAAAAAAGAAATTGATGAATTCAAAGAAAAGATGGAAAGTGCTCAAAGAAGTGGGAATTTCTTGCAAAGTTTGTCCTTTCTATATTTTTTGCACAAATTCTGTGCTTCCTTTTCTTGAGAAGCTTTGCTGGCTTAATCACTGTTTATTAAAAAATCACTGTTTATTGAAAGAAACTTCCTTTGTATAAAATAGGTCGACATTTTGATTCTTTAAATAGTTAAATAAATTTTCCCATCAGTTTCTACATATTTGAGCTTGTTCTTAGAATTTTCTTTCAATGTTTGAAGTGCCTTAAATTCTTTCTCTGCTAGTAATATTGTTATTGGTTATTTTACTTATTTCTGTATCCCCTATTTTATGAGATAATAGTTGCTGTACAGAGTATTTTGCCCACCACAATCAATGCCAGGAAAATTCTGCAATGCTTATGATTACGGATGTGGCAAGAACTTTTCTTTGAGATGTAAAACACTGCAAATATTAATGTCGAATGGGGCTTATATAGCAATTCATCAGAATTTTGGGGCTGTGAGTATTTATTATATATATCGTATATTAGTGAATCATAATTTCGAGATATTTGGATTTCAGCAATGGAAGCTCAGAAAGAACTGAAAGATTTCTTGAAAACGAAAGATATCAAGCTGTATCGACAGTTTATGTTTATGAGTCTTAATGGCGCTATCTTTATGACACAGTTTATTGCGGTCAAAAAATTAGCTGATGTTTCGTAAGTTTCAACATTAGATGCTAGAAGTAATTTCCCGTATTTGAGACAATTTTTGCTTGTAAAACGTTTTTAGTTCGTGTTTCTTATTTTTTAAAAATTTTTTCAGTTTTCCTGGCATGAGCACTGGCGGTTTGTACTGGTTCAAAGACTTGACCATGCCTGATCCTTATTATTTGCTTCCATTAGTTTCTGCTATTACTGTTGCCGCGGTGTTCAAAGTAAACCAATTGCACTCCTTATTAGCGATATACGATTTATTACTATTTATTATAATAATCTTTTGATTTTCCACATGTAGTGGCGTTTTTAAGAAATATGAAAAATTTTTAAATTTTTAGAAAAACTTTGAATTTGTGCATTATTTTTCGTCACTGTTAAGGTAAAAATTTGTGTGAGTCATAAAAATGCCACAAATTCAAGTTTAGAAAGATAGAGATGGAGTTGAAATTTGAATTTGAAGAAAGGATAAAGTTGGGAGTAATAAGCAGCGGACAGAGGACTATAGATTCCCAGAACAACAACAACAACAACAACAACAACTGCTTTTTCTACTTTCTCCTATTCTTTTTGTTATCATTAGAAACTGTTTTCGGGTAGATCGGAGCCGAAACTGGTGGGACAAATCAAAGTATCAGTCCGCAGATACAGAAAATGCTGACGAGGATCGGACCAATTATGGTTTTCGCATGTAGTACCAAAGTTTCATCGATGAGTTTTCTCTGTTTTCAAAAATATGTTCCAAATAGTATTTATTTAAAATTTTTAATGCATAAAAGATTCCGAAATTAAATGTAAGTAATGCAAGGGAAGAATGAGTTATGATGGGTTTTCCTGTTTTTTATCAATTAAGGGCCATTAAAGTTCAAGCTTTATTTTTGTAAACTTCAGTGATTTGGTGCGGGAATTATGGTCAAGCGGGATTTATCTGTCCAAGCGGGATTTATCATTCATCTATCTACTCTTGCTGTTAATCCGATTCATTCTTGCCTCCTAGGGATTATGTATTTATCTTACAACTTTGACAACCTTGTGCTATGTTTTATGTCCCACTATTGGAAATTTCAGGCTATAGCCTTATATTGGTGTACATCAAATATGATCTCTGTAATATTTTCTGGAATATTCAAGATTCCATCAATTCGTGCTTTCTTAAAGATACCTCAGCTACCATCAAAACAAGTGAAATTTTATAAGAAAGCGCTTGGCCAAAATATACATCAGACGACTACGCAAAATTAAGTCTTTCCGTGGACGAATATTTATTAGTTAAATAAGCAGTCTACTGGAGGGAGAATGTTTCAGCAGATTTATCAAGAGTTTATTTTTATTAAACCGTTTCATTTTTAGGCCGGACAAAAAACATTTATTGAAGAAGCGAGAGATGCCTCTGGTGGATAAAGATCAGAGAAACACTAAAGGTTGTTTATTTTTATGGATTTCGTTGTGAAAGACAACGAAATCCATAAAAATAAGATTTTTTTTTTGTCGTTAATGGCATTTTTTTTCATATATGTGACCACCTGATATACAATTTTATTTTAATCCCATCTTCTCTTTTGCTTCATTTATGTTTTATCATTTTATATAATTTGTATTCATTTCAGGATTGGAAAGCAAACAGAGCAAAGAAGAATGCAGTTGAAAAGAAAAGATATTTATGTGATGGTACATTTCAGATGTTTCAAAATGTATTTGGTTATTAATTTTCTTTTGATTTCCAGACTCAGATTATTGTCTCTACCAAAATTGATAATTCATCAGTCAGACGCAAAAAAGCTAGCATTAGTTTTTAATCGAAGGTCTTTGGTCAGAAACTTACACCAACTTTTTTTTGCTAGTATAGTCAAGGTTCTGTTTCAGTAGTAATTTTTCTCTTCACTTGTGGATTAACTTTTCGGTCTCGACATTATTTCATGATGGCTTGTGTCGTATTATTCAAAGAATGTGTTCACATAATCGTGAAATTCAATTTTAAATAATTCCTTGCACAGAACCTTTACCATATCAATTCGGTATACAGAAAAGTAGGTCTAGATTTCAAGAAGACAAACAGTTTTTAGCTTATTATGTCTGTATTTGATGTTGTTGTTTCGATGTAATATGCTATAAAATAAGACGATTCAAAGCCTGTTTTATTGTTGATTTATTATCAGTTTAAGGTCTACTTGAAATTTTTATTTTACCTGATTCTTCACATATATTCTCTGCTGCGTCTGTTTCTGTTTGATTGGTGCGTTGCACATGCTAATTTCTAAAGGGAGTACTTGATTTATGTACAAATTTAGGATGCCTCACTTTTTTCATGATCCATTCTATATGCTTTGGCTTAAATTAATGTTCAATACATGTTTCTATCTAGCTATGTCATTATGCGAAACGTGGAACATCGAAGTTTCAAGGCGATCAATTCGATTGTAGCTTAGTACTGTTAGGAAATGTAATTCCTGCATCAAATAGAAATGCTTGCGAGATCTGATTATTGACGGATGTGATTGTTAGGTTTCCGATTCGCATGGTATGACATTGCAATAATCGCTTTTGCCTGAATTATTACTGAAATGGCGGTAGCACTTTGTCTGGGAAGATCTCGCCTGGCAGTACAGCGTTTTTACGCTTCAATTACCTCTTCCGCTGCAGCAACAGTTCGCAGTTCCAGTTTTCAATCACAGCATTGTGTAGTTGGCGTTCGGTATGCATCTACAGCAAAAGATATCTTTGTTCCATCACAGGATTCTCTAACGGTGTGTTAAAATTGACTAGAATTTGGTTTTTATTTCTAACGTGGGAGAATTTTAATGTTCAGCAAACCTTTTAAAATAGTCCATTTCGGCATTGTTTACTCAGTTGGCACTTAGTTTTACATTCGTGATTTACAAGCTTGTTCAATTAAGTACTTTGTTTCAGTTTCATTCATAGCTTTAGTTGACCTGAAGAGTTGGAATAGTTAGTTGTTGTTTGTTTATAATTTTCGCTTTACTTTTTTTTTTGCTTCAATAAACAAATGCACTGTAAACGTCAGCTCAATAAGCAATAAAAAATTAAAAGAAATGTCGATAAACTCGTAGCGCAGTAGTTCTGCAATGGAAATTTTCTGTTGATCAGCTTTAGATCTATTCTTTATGAGTAGCTAATTTCTGTATAGTATAATTTGTTGGAATCAGAAATGGATATTGTTCAGATTTTAGCCTTTTTATAAGGACCATTGGAAATGAGACCATGAAATGATTAGCAAAGATGGTTAGGATAATTTGTCAATTCGGTTTCAATAAGTAAACGTGAGGGAAATTTATTACTCTTCAGTGAATATTAACACTATGAAATACTGAATTGAACAAGTTTTTTGTAACACCGTGAATACAAAGCTAATAAATTAACTATGAATTTTGTTTCTGTTTGTTAATTTATTTAAATTTCCTGATCTGTATTAAAAGATTTTTTAGGGCATACCGGATATCCCGATAACAAATATGCCTCCGGAAGCAGTATCTGGTCCAGGCTTTTCCTTTTATGAGAAATGGCTTCTGAAGGTCGATGTATTGGACATGTTGGGTCTAAATGATATATCAACTGTAGAAAGGACTGGGCTTTTTACATGGTATTCACCTGCTTCATGGTATCGAATTGGTTTGGAATTTATCCACAATCATTTCGATCTCCCCTGGTTTGCTTCTATCATATGTAGTAAGCACTTTCATATAAAGATTAGATATAAAAGACTGGGTTTTAATTTTTGAAGTAACAGATTTCTGAAGGAAAAGTAATTGATGGATTATTAGTTCCCGTTGGGATAATTTTAAAATTTTTTCCTAAATTTTCAATTCAGTAGTTGGAGATTTAATGGCATTTCGTTTCTTTTTTAATTGAGCTTAACTTGATAACCTTATACTTTGATTAGGAACATGTTACTTGCTTTCGTGGTTTGCTTTCCGTATTATATTATTCATGCTTTTCAGTCACATTGTGTTTGCGGTTAGCATTTCTGCGGGCAACCTTATTCTTGCAAAGATTTGCACCAAAGAAAATGATACACGACGAGACATTAAAAATGTTTGATGAAAAGAAGAAAGAAGCTCAAGAAGTAGTTCGCTGTGAAGCTCTGTGTTAGTTTTTCTTTTCTTTTTTTTTTTTTGCTTTAGATAATCCCACCATTTGGATGCAGTGGAAGTGTTGTAATTTTATTCAAGCAATTATATTTGAATAGTGGTGATATTTGACGGTTATTCATGTTCATCAAAGGAAGAGAATGTCGGCACTAGCTAAGATATGCAATTCGAGAAAGTCCACTTTCCTTTTAAAAATTCTAAAGAAATCATAGTTATGGATGAAACAAACAGCGTAAATATTCTTTGTAACTTGTAAGAATAGTATTTCGAGTAATTTTTCAACTCTTAATATTTTATTTTAGTTTTAGTCACCCTTTGACTTTAATCCATTCATTCAGTTCATCTAATGACATTTTAGATCGGAAGATATCGCATGATGAAAATGTTTATATAGATACGTATAATTTAAGATCCTCCAATAGGTATTATTATTTTGTGCTCAACTCAGTTTTATTTATTTCCCAATATCGTGGAATTATTCTTATGGCAGAAAATAAGTAAGTCTTTCAAGTCCCGTCTAATTTTTTTTTTTGGTTGAAGAAGTGAAAAGAAGCATCATTTATTTCTTTCGGGAATTCATGTGCAAAAGTTTCAATTGAATTAGTATATTTTGATGAGTTTTGATCGAAATTGGAAAAATAAATTTAATCTTGAAAAGCTGGTGTGATTTTATTTTTGTGAAAATTTGCAGTTTTCCTGGTTGGGATACAGGCGGTGCATTATGGTTCCTGGATTTAACAATGACAGATCCTAATTTCTTGGTACCAGCACTCTCATCTGTTCTCATTGGATGCACACTTTTTGTAAGTTACTTTTTGTAGGCAGTCTATTTAAATCTCTATATATTTTGAATTGAAGAAAACTCAAACGCCGTTTTTCAGCTTGGATATGATCCAACCGGTACCGCATCCGCCAGCAAATACGTTAAAGCCTTCAAGTATTTTGTGGTACCAGTTGGTGTATTCTTTTTTAGCTCAAGAGTTCCTGTAGTATGTCTTTTCCTACATTTTCTAGATTTCTTCAAAAGAATTTTTCACTGTCTTATATCAAAATTGCTTCCATGTAAAAAATAAAAATGAAAACTTGCCAAAAACAATAAAATAACAACGCCCTTGAGAATTTCCAGTGAACTACTGTTCTATAACTAAATACATAACTCACACCTTTTAGCTGAACTCACAACTCATAACTCACAACATGCATGAAGATGTATTGAAATTAAAAATGCTTCTATATTAGTCTGATTTGTGGTAATGTTTACCTGACTCAGCACACTGATCCGCTTTCTTTAGGCCATTTCGATATACTGGTGTACCTCAAACTTCTTCAATCTTTTGTTAACAATAACTTTACGCATCCCCAAAATCCGTTATGCTCTTGATATCCCATTGAAAGTAACGAAATCAAGTTCGGCGACATTCCAAAAAGCATGGAAGCGTGCATTCGGTATTCTTTTCCTCGAAATTTTTCTGTCAAAATCACTACCATTTTTCCTGATGTCAGAGATTTCAGTAAACTTAATTAATTTTGTCCTTATAGATGACCATTAACGTTAGCCGAGAAAGCAGTGGTGAAATCTCGAATTTTATAAGTAAACTTCCTCTGAGTTCGAAATTAGAAATTATGAAAAAGCAGAGCTAATTGGACCTAGCGATGGGTTATTCTTTTTGAACGATATGCTATTCAAATTGTAGTACGTTATTCAGTTAACACTCTTTTTTTTCAGGTTGGAAGAAGGAAACAGAGAAACAGGCTCGGTCACGACCGGTAATGTGGGAAATAATGCAGAGACAACATTTGGAAAGATTTGCGAAAGCTGGTGGACCAGGCCCTACGAAGTGATTAATAGTTAATGATAAAATCGGGACTTGCTTTCACAATGGTTTTGTTGATCGCATTTTAAAATGTTTATGAAAGATTTTCTGATTTTTGCAATAAATTTATCAAATTTGAAGGAAATAAAATAATTACGTCTAGGAAAGCATTACAATCGATCACTCAGCACTAGCTACTTTATCATTCTAAACAAATGGCTTCGCGAAATACCATTTTATTTTCGAAAAACTTAAGTTTTGTAAAAATAATATAATTTATTGCGTTTCCGATAAATTTTTTTCATTACATTCAAAGAAAAAGAAAAACTAGAATTGTTCTCATATAGTGTAGATGGTAATTTTTTTGTTGGGAATACCGACAATCAATTTGCCGGATTCGATATTGCACTCAGCATACAAAATTTATAACGGACACATGCTGGAATATATAGAAGAAATTACGAAAATGAGTATAATCGTCCTAACTTTAATTTACTTCTTCAAACTTAACCGTTAGTTTTCTTAACTTCAGGAAGATCGGGAATTTCCTCAAATTTTATTGACGAATATTTTGAAAAGGAAAGATAACACCAATGAATTTGAAATGATTCATAGATTTATAACAGCAGCAAATCAAAAAAAAAAAAAAATTTAACCTATGATCGTTTCAATAAAGAGAGGGATAGAAAAGTGATAGACAGTTACAAGTTTTAAAGTTTTTTAATTTTAGATTTTCAAATTTCTCCAGTGTTGGGGGCACTTTAGTTTTACTTTTTTGAAATAAAATGCTATCTCTTGAGTTACCTCGATGTAGTTAATGAGAATATATTGTAAATGGTTGGATTTGTTACATAAGAAAAGTAATTGCACATCATACTGTAGCAAAGAAATTTTCAGCTGCAAAGATCGTATGAAACAAAAAGTTAGTATTTTGATTAAGTGAAAAAAAAAGGATATGAACTAACGTAGAGTAAGTTTAAATAGAACTTAATGTTTCTACTGAAATTTATTTCTCTCTTTTCATATTTCGGCGGTCAGGTTAATTTTTCTAAGTAAAAGTTATTTCTCTCATGTATATGAAATATGTTAGACTCAATTATAACACTATTCAAATAGTCCCAAAATAAGAAGTTTTGTTTTAACTCTTATATTTTTTAGTTTTACTTCCTTTCTCTTGATTGAGTTTTCTGTTAATCTCACTCTAAATTAGGCTAAAAAAAATTTAAATCTGTAATTATTGATGATATACGACATCGAACTCTCACAAAAAATTTCATAAACTTCCCCCCATAATATTATACATAATTATTGGTGAACCAGGAAATCATATGGATAATAAAGGACAAATTTCATAAAGCTATCAAAATATCATATTATTTCGGAATATTATTTATTTAACCATAAAAAATGCGATAACTAATATCTGTATTAATAATAGAAAGAAAATAGAATCAATATATGAAGAACAGTCGTTAAAATGAGGATTATGTTAACAATGATAGAATTACTCTTGTCACTGCTATTGCTGTTAATCTTATCAGTCTAAAGCAATGAAATAAATGTAACTTTTGATTTCGCTGCTATTGTTGTTATTTTGCTGTTGTTGCTTTTAAATTTGTTGCTAATTTAATAGGTCCATATTGTCGTCGTCCACAATAACGACAATACCCGTGTACACTGATCGCCAGTAACGCTGTCAATGCAGATAAACCCGTCCAAATACTTAACCATAAGCGGGATAAGCAGTATTGGTTTGGTACTGCAAATAATACGTTGAATTTCTATTGGATAAATAATCTGAAAGGAAGGAATCTTTGTTAGATTATTTTTGTTTAAAAATTAACTTTTAGTTTTCAATTTTTAAAACGAACAATTATCTCTAAACATTTTGGCATGCCGTCCATGATCTATTCGATAATTCTCCGAATTGCAGTACTCATCCTTCTTATCACCGAAACAAATATCGGCATAGACATGTTGCTGGAACGAATTGTGCTCTCGCCGTTTTCTAACAATTTTTGCTTCCTGACCGGACAGGAGAGCATTCGTAGGTGATGTTATCAAATCCGGACAAAATGGTGGCTGCAATTAAAAGAACACGATTTCTTTGTGATCCAACTTCTGAGATTTCGAAATTGTCGACAAGCATAACAAACAGAATAATACCATGCTTTTTAATGACATGATTGATATAGTATGTTGATTTCGACTGAAAATTGAACTGTACTAAAAGTAGAGCCGTATTTACATCCATCCTATCGAAAAGCTGTTAAAAGTTTTGGCAACAATTTAAAATGACCCACAGATGGTATACTATCACAACTGGTTAAACCGGATTTGGTATCTGGAATATCGGTACATATTTCTATGGAGCATTTGATACTCAGCTGATTAATATCCGGTACTTTGAATGCATGCCAGTGAACTCGAGCTATATCATGATACGTATCATAATGTGGATGACTGAAGATATTGATATCCGTTGAACAACTGAAACACCATGATGATACAAAATAATAAATGCAGATTTTGCATTACTCATTCAAAAAAGCTAGATCATTCCATACGACAGGAAATAAAAGTGACAATAATATTATCAAAAAATATAGCACCATCATTTTTGCCAGTTCCTTTTTTTTTTAAACTTTTCTTAGTAATACGAAATTTACTTTTGATTTTTTAGGAAAAAAAAAGCTTCACAATGCAAATATACCCTCGTTCATCGATCACCATGTATTCTTTATTACTAACCGTATCCCGTACTGTACAGTTTCGTACATGAAATCCGTAAGCATCTGGAATTTTTTATTTAAAGTCGAGTTTTACTAAAATTTTATAAATCTCATGGGAAATGGAATAATTTACCAGAATCATTTTAATAAATATACCATCTGTTTTTTTTTTGCATCTATCCGGATGAAAGTTCTCATATTAATTCCACCTTACAAGTTAAAACATGAACACCCGGATAACTAAATAAATTTGTGTAACTTTTATGCATAGAGATTTTGGATACTCAGGCCAGTAAACAGGAACAATGCTAATTAGAAATGAGAAGGAAGCAAAAGTTCTTTTTTTTTCTTTTCCTATTTTCTTGAAAATTATAATTAAAATTAATTCCTAAAGGATTTTAGGCAATTCAATAAGATCAAATTGATTTAACATATAAAAAAAACTTCTAAAAAAGCGAAAGATATAAAATTCCATTTAAAAAGTATGGCAGCTTATAATCGTTCATTAAAATAGTAGTCCTACGTTAAATTCATATTCTTTTTCTGCATGTATCAAAATTTCAAAAAAAAAAAAAAAAATAACACTTGACGGAATCATATATCAGTATTTCAAGAAATCGATGGTAACTTCAGAGAAGTATACAGTAATCGAAAAAAAAGAAGGAAACTCATTAAATTATTTATAGAATCATCTCAAAAGATAGATAATGTTAACAAGCAGAGATTATCCAGGAATTCATTAAAAAGAAAAAAAGTTCTTGGGATCACAAAAGAATCATATAATTTTATAACCTGATTCGGGTAACAAACTCCATTCGATTCTCATCGGTTGTCCAAGGTTAACAACTTCTATTTCAGCGCCATCATCACCATGTCCATGTTCTTCTTCGGTAACTATTCGCATCATACATTCCGGAACTTGTGCTTTATACTCCAGTTTCATCGGTATTAAGCGTAATCTACATCAAGAAAAAAAAACACTCAAACAGTATCATCTATTTCAAGTTCAATATGATAAATCAATTAAAGACTGATTAAAAGTGACCAGTAGAAGTATGGATGAAAGCTCAAATAACGATTATTGATTCCTTCAAGATCAATGATATGCTTTCGACACTTCGAAATTTAATTGCAATAAACTCTAAGAAAATAAAAAGATTTACGGTACTAATCTTAAATCGCATAAGTTTGAACTTCCCCAACCAAATTTCTTGTAAAAATTGAAATACTTAAATAATTGGAATTCGATTACTTACTCTTCCAATGCTTCTTCAATACGTTTCGGTATCACCTGTTTTTGATATTGTACTTTTTGATGGACGCATTGAGTTAAAAATGATTGCATTGTGCTTGTATTGTCTTTCTGTTGAAAAATAACAATAATTTGCATATGAAATTGGGTTTCTGGTCGTTGTTTTTCTGAAAAATATTTCAGGTTAAGCGAGAATTTCAAAGACTGGATGAAATACTGAGATGATAGGTTGCTAATATTAAGCATTAGTAAGTTATGATATTACAAAATTAGTCCTACTGCAACGTTTTAGATTTGCTAATTTAAAAGCATCGTAACAGTCCTAATTTAAACACCTGTTAACAATAATAAATTATAAATTAGCAATATCAAAAAATATTAATGCTTCTTCAATCCTGTCGGAATTTTTGATTTTTTTTTAAAAATATTTCAGTAATTTGTGATAGTACTAAATTTACCGTTGTTTCGCATACCACATGACGAATACGGCATCATTACTCGGACTAAATTTGCTTCATAAAATGTAAAATAACATCTGAAATAAAATGGAGAATGTATGAATTATAAAATTCAAATTTTAGGTATGTGAAAGTCTAAAAACCAAATTATCGATTAAATTGAATGTCAATTTAGGCGTCGAAACTCAGTTCAATAATACTTCAGGATAAAACGATAATTCAGTCGTGTGAATAATATATTTTCCTATCAATTTTAATTCTGCTATCATCGAAGCAATAAAACATGTAAATGAACAAACTCAGCAGAGGGTTTTCGATCATGAGCGAAAATTTGTCCGGTAAATGGAAATAATGTGCTAATTTCGAATTGTAAACCATCTTCTTTACAGATTAGATGAGCTCTGCCTGAAATTGAAATGACAGGAATTTAAATTTTCGAATTAATCAAAAATTAGGGAGTTGAACAAAAAATTTAATTTTGTGAGATTGCATGTTAAAAATTTATGAAATGTTAGCCCAGAGTATGGAAAGATGAGTAATAAACGAAGTTTTACTACTTTCATGATGATGAAGTGCCATGTTTATAACAGAAAAAAAAGAAAAAAAACTCTGATCAGTATGACATAAATTAATATAGGCAATTCAAATCTTAAATTTTTATAAAGTTGAAAAATAACTTAAAAAAACATTCACCACGCAAACGGTTTAAAACAATTCCGATAGGTGTTGTACTGACATTTAATGGTATTGAGGTTGTTTTGATTATATTCGATACATTGAATGATGATGGATGGGTATATCTAAAAATATATTCTAAAACATTTTTTTTTCTTCAGCAAAGTTTCTTATAAAAATTAAATAATTTGCATTGATAGATAGTTTGGGAAAAAATCAAGTAAATAAGTAAATCAATTAATCAAATGAGGATAGGTTGTAAATGGTTCATATAAAAAGTTACTGTGATATTTGTGGTGAATGAAAAATTGTGGTACTATTCTCTCTGATAACTTCCAATTTATCTTTCGTCTCTGTTTCCATTCCAATATTTTGGGGAGTTGTTGCTTGAGGGAATGATATTGTAGGAATCATATTTGATATTTGATCTTCGGTTAGTTCCAAATATGTCGTTGTCGTTGTTTCATCATATCTTTTGGGAATGATGCTTTCAATCGTAGTATTTTGTGTTTGTTCCAGTAATGTTTCATTAGTCATAATATTTTCAGTGGAAACTGTTGATGTTGCGTTTACCGGAAATGTTTGCTTATTTTCATTTGATACTTGCATAGTACACGGGGAAACAATGAATGTTGTAGTAGTAGTAGTAGTAGTTGTTGTTGTTGTTGTAGTAATAGTATCTGTCGTAATAGTTTCAGATGCAGCGGTGTAAGTGAACTCTACATTTGTTGCATAATTTGTTTCATCGTTTGTCACAGTTACTGTTGTCGCTGGAATAAATTACGAAAATTCATTAATTCCTGTCAACAGTTGATGATTTTACATAAATGAAAAAAATACATTTAATTGGCAAGAGAATCGTAACAGAGTTCGAAACCGATGCAGCAGTCATATCAGATGATGCTGAATATTGAAGTATTTAGAGAATTGAATTTCTACTGATTCCATCAACTACTGATTTATTTAAAATGGTAATCCTGCATTTGCGTTCAATTTATTATTTGTACTATTCAAAGTTAGGTAGTGGGGAAATATTGTCTAATCATGAATTTGATGAGCAAAAGCCTCGGAGATCTCTTACATTTGAAGGATAAAACTCACTGATTTCAGCACAATTAAAGGGAGCTCCCGGACTTTGCTTCGTGGTATCAAGAATCTGCTTTTGTTCATCAGAATAGTCAATAACAGGCATCACTGCTGGAGGTGCTGGACCGAAATTTTCCGCTGAAAATATATTTATAATTTCGAGATGATTTGTGTGGTATTCATATAAAGGTGAGATAGAGAAAGAGGCAGGAAGAAAGGATGAAAGAGGAAAGGATGAAATAAGTTATGAATTCTGAGAATCAAAAAAGCAGTAATGAGTTTAAATTTAATAATCCCAATAATTTAATGATTTCAAATTACTCTACAGAAATTTACAATTTGACAATGATTTCTCTTATTACATTCAATGGTAGATACAAGAACACGCCAAAAATGTGCTTATAATTTACTTACTTATCAAAATAATCTGGACATGATTTATCAAAATGACTCAATTTTTTTATTTTTATGATATCAGCATTTACCGGTTAGCTGCGATCCATAATCAGTTGTGGTAAGTTGAAAAGATGGATATGTATTAACATTGATATTCTTGGAATTGATCATTTCCTCAGATGTAACATCTTGAATCATCTCATTAACTTTATCATTAACTGCTCCATCCTAAAACAAAAAAAAAGGGAAAAAACTATAAAATCTACGATGTTAAAATATTTCAAAGCATGGAAGAAACTGAATTTTATTAAAAAATTGTTTCAATTTTATTACAAAATTTGGCCAACCCTTCATGCTACTTATTTCAATTTACCTTGATTAAAAACTTTTTAAAAACTTTACAAAAATCACAAAATTTTCAATCATTTTAGTAGCGAATTAATCGATCCGCGTTTAATCTATCTCTCCTATTTTTCATAACTTCAAGAAAAATAAAAACAAAAAAAGAAAAAAAAGTCGATCTTTTTAGCATTTAAAAAAGGAATAATTATTTTTCATATTATTTAAAAAAATCAAATTTAAATCAAATTATAAGAAATTGTTGAAGTCAAATTTTAAAATCTTGCAGAAACTATTTGTTTTCGTATTTTACAATTTTCCTAATTAAAAAAAAAGGAAAAAAAAAACAAAACGAAAGAAAACCGGAATTATCTATAGATGCATACACAGGATAACCTGTATGGGACATATAGGTTATAGGCTTGACAATATTTATCTATTTGTTTTGTTCATTTAAATCATTATACACACTTATACCTGGTTGAGTTGATGTTAACACAAAACACGATGATTTATCGGACCATAATAGATTGACAAATGATAAAGACATGGTGATAAATTAAAATCACATTCATTTGAATAATGAAGAGAAAAAAAATAGTTAATTTCTTTTTCTTTCGTCACCTTTTTTCTTTGATAAGAAAAAAAACTGATAACATGCGGAAGACTTGAAATGTAACACTATATAAAAGAAAAAATAAGAATTTGAAGAAATTATGAGAAAATAAAAGTTGTTGGAAAAATTAAATGCATTTGAGGGGAATACTAGAGATGAAGTTTTAATGCAAAAGGAAGGGAAATTACTGACAAATATCAGGTGATAAAATTAAATTTGGATTATCACTCGCATTTATGTTTGTCGTTGCATATTTCTTTGTGATAAAAATTCTTTTCCTTGACAAAATTTTTTCTTTTTTCTTTCTTGATAAAATTTTTCAAAGGTTAAATTTCTAAACAGCTTGTTAAGACGGTAATTTTAATTCGACTGTTGAAATTTCTAGACGATTTATTGAAGCGATATTTTGATTTGACTGTTAAACCTTTTTTAAATCCATATACACCCCTAAATTTTCTTTTTTTTAAAGAATGATTTATTGCAGCGATACTTTAGTTTGATTATTAAAATTTTCGATGATTTATTGAAGCGGTACTTCAGTTTCATTATTAAAATTTTTGATGATTTATTGAGGCGATATTTTAGTTTGATTATTTTAAATTTTTAAATGACTAATTGAAGTGACACTTTAATTTGATTATTTCTAGTAAGCAGTGTTTCTTTTTTTTCGTTGAGTTTATTATATTACTAAATTACTGATAGTTCCTTGAAGCAGTGACAATTAATTATCAGATTATTAGCTATACAAACGAAAAAGAAATGGATATAAAAATGTTTGTGTCGTTATCCATTCCTTCTTATCTTTTATTTCTTCACCTTCATTTCCACTTTTTTTTCTTGCAAAATTAAAATTTGCTTGTAATTACAAACGAATAACAACTTAATTGAATATAGGCATGAATGGATATTTTAACGGGTCGAAACAAACCAAAAATTTGATAAAATCCGGTTCTATCAATGATACCCCTTTTCCTTCCCGTGATATACTCCAATACTCGGGCATTTTCCCCAATAATTTCTAATCACATCTTTTCGATGGCAGTTCACTTCTTTTCTTCCTTCATATCATCTCTTTCATCCATTTGTTATTGTCATTGTCGTCGTCGTCTACTATTCTCTCAACATTATCTTAGAAAATGCTGTTGAAAAAGGAGTTTTATTCGAACCAAATAATGATGACAGTCAAGGCAGTAGCAGTAACAACAACAGCAAGCTGCTCCACTTTCAATTGTATGCAAAAATAAACATCAGTCAACCATCAGTTGACCCAACCCGGTCTTTCTCTTCTCCCTTCCTTATACCTATCAAATACTCCCTCTATCTCTCTCTCCAACAATATCAGTAAATTTACCGACGTTATCGATCAGATGATAAATTATAACTATAACGGAATCATTTTGACATTTCTATTTTGATATGTAGCAACTTGATCGATATGATTTGATCATCAAATCACTGATATACTTTACGTGAACTTTGGAGGCAACACAACAATGTTTGAAAGCAAGCTGACCTAGCAGTGATTTTGAAGATACAGGCAAGTTATGATAACATTCTAACTAAGCTAAATTAGTAATTTTGAACTTTAAATTGAAATATTAAACTAGCAATTTAAAGTGTATAGTCAAGATGAACTAATAGATTTTGAAGTTTCGAGCAAGTCAAGAAGACGCCATTACACAAAACAACTGCAAAATGGTTCATTAATTAATGAAATAGGATTTAAATAACTTACTCATGAATTGTTTTAAAATTTTTATTAATTGATGGAATAACATTCAAATAACTTATTCATGAATACTTTTGAAACTTTCCCGTAACAGGAAAGTTTCCTTTCGTAAAACTTTAGAAAAATAAACATTCACATCTTTGTTATATCCAAACATTTTCTGGCAATTGATTTCCAATAATAATTAATTTCCAATAATAATAATTTCCAATAATGATTATAATGCTTTCATTATTACTATTTCCTCACATTTGTTATCTATTCCATAAGAAACATTTTTTCACTAAAAACAATTGAAATTTCATCAATCCTTGATTGCGAAAAAAATGCTTCTGCTGCATAAAGAAAAATACGTAGTGGGAAATATTGCTATCCATTCAGTAAAATTAAAAAAAAAAAAAACTTTTTTTTCTAAAATATTAAAAATTTTCCTCAAAATAGAAATAAAATTATTGGAAATAAGAAAAGACACTCAAATTATGTGATTTGAAAATTTTATTATAATAATTATTATGATATTACAGTATCTATTACCGTTGCTAAAATTGTCATGATAATTATTGTGTCAATTAATAGGAAAGGAAATTTGGAATTTCGGAACCGAATATACAAAATGTTTAGAGAAAACCGGGACACATATCATTGTAAAAATAATAATAGCAATCAATAATTAACACCAATAATTAAGGTTCATTTCTGGTCGTTGTCAAAGGTACCAAATTATTGATTGATCACGATATCTACATAATATTTAATTTGCTTTAATCGAGAAAACTATACATGAAACTAAATCATATATATATAATTGTTATATGCAATGTTAAATTTTACATCCCACCAGAATGGCTTTTGATTTTGATATTTGCAATACAAAATATATATATGTCTATCAAATTCTTTCATTCTGATCATTATTACAACAAAAATCAGATGACAATAATGAAAGGTTTCCTTTGTTAAATTAAGTGCAGTGATGCTAGAATCATCGATCTGATTCCTACATTCATTTGTCATCTTTACCAAATATCAAAATACTATCTCTCGGAGACCGATACGCAAATGGTCACTGCATTTTTTTTTTTCTTTTCCAATGACAAATATCACTTGATGAATTCGACCTCTTATAATGTTCATTAATAAAGATTGATTAGTTCCTCTTGTAATTACCATGACATCTACTATATTATTCATTCAAATGTTTTTTTTCCCATGAAAACAAAGTGATAAAT